GAGAAGACCTGAAAGGAAAAGAATAGTAGTCACAATACTGTGGCTGGAACAATTCACTTTAAACCCGCCTTAAAAGAACATTTCAGCCTGTCCTAGCCTATTTTAAAGTCACAACCAGGACAAGAACAGTAGAGAAGCCCAGGAGACGATACAATAGGAAGTGAGGGAAAGAAGGGAATGGTAGTAGCAACAGTATTATATTCAAGCCTTCTCTACTTTACTAGTCCCAGTTGTAACTTAACAATGGTCCAGCTCAAACTAAAATATCATAATGTTCCTCTCTTAAGTGCCAGTTTTTGGAGAATCTGAAGAAATTTTATACAAGCAGTGATATATTTTGATGAGTTATGCAAACAATGCTGTTTTTTAAAAACTTTCTTCACATGAATCATCAACTAAATGGTATTTTTTCTTAAAAAACTTTTCAGTTGGTGATATTTTACTTTTTATTTTTTAATGAGACCTACCTTACTGCTGCAAGATGGCAATCAACATGCACAACATTAAAATGTGAAACAGTGCAGTAACCAAGAGTTTTGTGAGGCTTATTCTCAAATTCATCCACCACACAACGCTTGCTGAAGGTGTACACAGCCAAGACTTTCTGTGGCTGACACCGATAACCTTCCAAACATATTGCACACACCTGGAAATAATAAATGAAATAAAACCTAAGCATCTTTTTTTTTTAACATTTTGCCTAACACTTTTCCACTAAAGAATTTTCCCTTAAAACACCATAGAGCTTCTGATTTAAAGTTGATAAGACAATGATTGGTCTCACATTTCATGTCTGTACTTGCTAAACTTAAAACATCACGGAATATCTTCACAAATCTAGCACCTACCAATCCACTTTCTTCTGCTATTTCCCCCATTTGTGACAATAAAGTAGACTGTGATGTAATCTGCTCCTTGTCATTAGCTCTAAGTCCTAACCGACTTAATTCCTTCTTGCGTGTCTCCATTGCTAGACGTTTCTTTTCCTGCCGTGTCTGACGTCTCACTTCTTGAACCTTTAGGATTAAGCATTGTATTAAAAGAAAAATCAGTACCATATACATTATACAATAATCTAATGCCTTAATTTGTGCCATCTACTGCTGATGAATATCAATTATATATCACTATTATATCTTCATTATCTCCCACCTATGAAGAGTGATCCAAAAACAAGAAAAAAACATTCACGATCACTCATTCAACAGCTGTCTCACCTCAACTCCAATGACACAGTTTCATAATTTGGTTTCAAGAGGAAAAGTCTACTTGTATTTACATTTTTTTGTGAAAGGCATATCTGACTATAACATGACACTAAACTTAGAAATGGGGTGTAGGTGTTGAAGGGGCTGTCAAAGTTTCCTGTAAAAGTGATTTGCAGGAGCAAGTTGTAGGGTTTTACTAGTAGGGGTGTATGAGTGTGTTACAGGTATGTAGGACTAAGCTCTACGCTTGTAGGGAAGGTTGTAGGGGTATGAAGGCTCATATGGACACAAACCTGCACAGCTATACTGGGATCATCTCTTAAAGCTTCAAGTAAATTTTCAGCTACTGAACCAACATGTTCATCAGAGGAGATCTGTTCAAGTCTATGAATAGCTGGAATACATGTTGCAGCAACTGCTTGCTGTGTTCCTCTATGCTTTGTTGCCAACCCTGTTCACAGGATACAAGATATTCATGTAAATACAACTTTTTCTTGAGAGTGAATATTTACATCAAATATATGAAACAAAAGTAATAAATTCAAAGAAACATGAGTATAACTGTTCAAAAACTCATGATTATACTATGAACTCTTATAAGACTGCTATTTACAAGAAACCTCACCAGTAAGTAGTCTGAGTATGTATTTAAGAGAAGGTCGTCCCAAGAAATCCTTCCACTCCTCATTGCACACAACTACAAGCTTCTTACTCACTGGCATGTGGTTCTCTATGTAAGCTAATGCATCCTGAAAATAATTTTTAAAAGTTTGTTTATTTTAACTCTTCTAACCATAAGAAATGTCTTACATATGTACATAAACATTTCTCCTCTACACATATGAAAGATGTGATTCATCTTGAAAGAGGGTTTTCCCCAAACAAACCATTCTACAAAATTTCTTAACTGTCACATTGCAACCTATACATGAAGAACAATAATAGTTACTACACTAAATTTATGTTTTAAGAAGAAATATACCTTTACAATATTAGCTCTGACAATCATGTCTTTCAGCTGATTGCCATTTTCGTTACGTTCAATGCCATCACAGAAAACACAGAATGACTCCATCTTGGCAGCATCCTCTGGTGAATGCTCAGAATCATACTTCTCAAAATCTAATACTGGACGGAAATGTCCAACCAAAAGCTCCATCTTTTCTTTGTGACAGAAGACCAAAAATGGCAAAACACGCATCAAGCGTTGGCGAACCTGAAATATACCACACATACAATATTTGGTCTAAAAAATATATATAATTATCAAAACAATTACCTATGTTCACAGAACTATGAAATTAGTGAATCTGCAAATTAATCCCTAAATAACAACTAGAGAAGATAACTTTGTCCCCATCCCATCATAATATACAACTAAAGGAACTTGAAATTTCACAAAACTGTCTTCAGTATTATTTAATATGAGCAAAAATAATGTGGCAACAAGTGTTACGCAGGAATGGTAAATTATGCAAAATTACAGTAAATCGTAAGAAATTATTAAGCTCAAAAGTCAAGGTGAATAAAGACATGTACATACAGCATGTGTGATGCATACTTTGTGAAGAATTATCATCCTAAGATGTTGCAGGATAGACCTAGTGACAAAAAAACATATACACATTTTTTTTTTTTAACAAGTCAGGCCGTCTCCCACCGAGGCAAGGTGACCCAAAAAGAAAGAAAACCCCCAAAAAGAAAATACTTTCATCATCATTCAACACTTTCACCTCACTCACACATAATCACTTCCCATTTCCAGGACTCAAGTCCGGCTATATAAAAATAACCGGTTTCCCTGAATCCCTTCACTAAATATTACCCTGCTCACACTCCAACAGATCGTCAGGTCCCAAATACCATTCGTCTCCATTCATTCCTATCGAACACGCTCCTGCACGCCTGCTGGAAGTCCAAGCCCCTCGCCCACAAAACCTCCCTTACCCCTTCCTTCCAACCTTTAAGAATTACTATGCAAGTGCTGCAAACAACATAAAACTATGCATCTTGTTCCTACCTGTGCATTAGTACGAGAGGACGTAGCAACATAGTTAAGTAGCAAGTGGATGTCTTCTAATGTGCCACATGTCTCCACAAACTCGGTATATGAAGCTGCAGGCATAGATGAAGCTTCAACCAGTATTGCCTCCAATACCTGTTTGGGTAATCAAAATCATTTAGAACTGTAATCCTAAAAACAATGCAAATTTTTTGATTGGTATTCAGTGTTAGTAATAAATTAAACCCATCAATCCTCATAAGTGGCACTGGCAACCCTTGGGTACACACTGTGATGAAGTTCAAATAAGGGAAATGATCTGAATGAACTTTGTTTACCTTTTCACCATGAAGGGCACAAATAGCTTATAATTTGAAGACATTGCTCGGGGCATGAATAATATGTACGACAGCAATAAGGGATAAATTCTGAATAGAAGTTGGAAGGGATGAAAGCATTCAGGGGGCAGCAAATCTGATGTGGCTAGATTGTGAAAGAAAAAAGGCATTTCAAAGTGCATGCCTGTCAATTAATAAAAAAAATGGCATGGATTCAGTTTTTTGTTGCATAGTTCAACTTTTTTTTTTTTTTTTTTTTTTTTACAATGTTGGCCATTTCTCACCAAGGTTAAAATATAATTACATCTTTACATATCTCATACTTTTACCAAGACAAAGCTCATCTATTAAAAAAAAAAAAAAAAAAAAAGGAAAGAAAAGAAAAGAAAAAAAAAATTTCCAGCAATATCAACAAATGAAAACTGAAAACATAAAATTCATACATTTTACTGGTTAGGGAAAATATTACAGAAAACTTATTTGAATGACAATAATTTTCAAAAATGAGCAAAGCAATTTATTTTAATGTCATCAAGCAGGAGACAAATACATAAACCAAAAGTTTAATAGTTTTAGATTTTTTTTTTTTTTTTCAACAAGTCTCCCACCGAGGCAGGGTGTTACTTAGGATAAAGAGTACACATACCTGCAGCAGCTGCTCAGTGAGGGAGGCTCCACCAGGAGGACCAGCAACAACTTCTGGCTCAGCTGCCAGGCACTGTTTCAGGGTGTGAAGAAGGGTGGCAATGGCATTTAATGATGGTACCATCAAACGTTCTCGGTTTACACGCACCTGATTTGGATAGAAGTGTTAGCATTCGATATTTCTGAGTAGTAATATAACTTTCATCCTGTATTTCTAAAACTCTGAAAATGTCTTTTATAGGCAAATGAAATGTGCATTTTTTGCACTAATTAATACTATTCATGAATGAGTAATTTATTGGGAGAATTAACCTTAGTATTATTATTATTATAGTAAATGGAATTTATCCTCTAGATCAGCCTAGGTAGTGATTTGTACCTTCATATATTTCTGAACCTTTTTTTCAATAAACCGGCTGAATCCCACTGAAGCAGGGTGGCCCAAAAAGAAAAACTAAAGCTTCTCTTTTCAACTTTAGTAATGTATACAGGAGAAGGGATTATTAGCCCCCTTGCTCCCATATTTCTAGATACATAAATTAAATAGGATTAGCTATAAGTCTTCTGTTACTCATTTTTAAGGAAGGATAGAAGTGGAAGAGTTAATGATGAACAATACTATGTAAAAAAAATATCTAACTGAAGCAATATGAATAATTGTTGAGAAATAGAGTATGTGGGAAAATATGGATGAAGAGAACTCTGAAGTATTTTGTAGGAGTAAAAAACACTCAAAATAAATGCTATACAATTTTACTCTTCAAAATGTTGTTGTAAACAAAACGATTGCCACTTTAGTTCACTCAAACCCAAGCATATGTGGAAGGACCAAATAATACCTCAACGAGTACATCAGACAATGAATTATAAAGGAAGAAATAATTAAAAAAATAGGAAGGTATAAGAAATGAACACAACAATTAAACATTTTCATTATAAAGGCAATATGGAGATGATGCAGCTACTTAACACAACTACATAAAAGAGTAGCCAATGAGATACCACCAATGGGAATGAGGTCCCACAGTGCTTCTCTCTTAGTTCTGAATAGGACCAATTAGTGTCTACTTCTAAAGATTTTTAACTCTGGAGATAACCTATTTGGGTTTAGAGCATGCTTTTTAGCATAATAATCTAATCATATTGAGGCAGAAATATATACAGTATATACAGCATTTAGACAAATTAAATATTTCAACAGAGAATAGTACCCATACCTTCACACAATACTGGAAAAGCTTTAGAAGAACTGTGACCAGAGCCCTGGCATATGAAAGATCACTAATTCTCTGAAGACACTCCAACATCACCTGAAATGAGGAATGGCATCAAATTGTGGTCTGTTGACTCTTCTTTTCTAACTGGTAAGCCATCCATCAAATTATTTCTTACAGTTATTATACAGAGCTGAGTCAGTGCTTTTTAACATGGGTGCCAAGATAAAACTAAAAAAAATATGCATGATTATAAATTTCCCATACAAAACAAATGATCAAAAATCTTCCATCCAATTTCAATTTGGTCCCCAGTATTCCTTACAAAATGTTAATATGAATTTGTTTATAATTTACTAACCTCAAGACCTCCACACTGACACATGACTCCAGCCATGCGATACACTTGCTCATTGTCAACATCTTCCTCTTTCTTCTTATCTAAGGTCTCAACAAACTCTTCTGTAGCATCCCCAAGGAGACCTCTCATGCGATAAACAACACGCATTGCATCACTTTCACTGTTCTCAGCAAGCCAAACTTTTTTATAAACCTTAAAAAAAAAAAAAATCAGTGCTCATTTATTTATCAGTGAATTATTCATTCAGAAATAAAAGAAAGAGGAGGGAGACTGGTGGGTGACTACCAATTTCATTTTTATTTGCAGAGAATATTACAATTTATAAAGAAAAAGGCTGGAACAATGCACAAGTAACCCGCACATAGGGGAATCAAACTTGTGACGATGTTTTGGTCCAACTAGTCAGACCGAATCATAAGTTTCATTCTCTTATGTATAGGGTGTGTGTGTGTGTGTAATATTACTCTCTGATGAACAAATGGATGTTATTAGCATGCAGCACCAGTAGGGAACCCACACCTGAGGAAGCATGTTAAGAAACTGGAGAAAATGCAGATGTATGTAATGAGACTAGTTCCAGAGCTATGAGGAAAGGCTAAAGGAATTAAATTGAATAACCCTGGGGAAGGAAAGAGGGGTAGGGGTCGTCCTCGAAAGGGTTGGAAAGAGGGGGTAAAGGAGGTTTTGTGGGCGAGGGGCTTGGACTTCCAGCAAGCATGCATGAGCGTGTTAGATAGGAGTGAATGGAGACGAATGATACTTGGGACCTGACGATCTGTTGGAGTGTGAGCAGGGTAATATTTAGTGAAGGGATTCAGGGAAACTGGTTATTTTCATATAGTCGGACTTGAGTCCTGGAAATGGGAAGTACAATGCCTGCACTTTAAAGGAGGGGCTTGGGATATTGGCAGTTTGGAGGGATATGTTGTGTATCTTTATATGTATATGCTTCTAAACTGTTGTATTCTGAGCACCTCTGCAAAAGCAGTGATAATGTGTGCATGTGGTGAAAGTGTTGAATGATGATGAAAGTATTTTCTTTTTGGGGATTTTCTTTCTTTTTTTTGGGTCACCCTGCCTCGGTGGGAGGCGACCGACTTGTTGGGGGGAAAAAAAAAAAAAAAAAAACCCTGGAGGACAGAAGGACCAGGGAAGACATAACACAAAATTCTCAAGAGGACATGGACAGGCTGCTTGAGATGCAGGAAACAGGTAAAACTACTTATACTATAAGTAGTTTAAAGAGCAGGTATGACAGGGCCCATGAGGGTAAGTGAGACTGAATCTGAAGAATGGCAAGCTAAGAGGCAGGGCCAGGATCTGAAAATCGACCCTTGCAACCACAAGTAGAGTAAGAATAGGCGAGTTACAACTTCGTTACAAATGAATACAAAATGTGCAGTTTCTAATACCTCCTTAACAGGTAGATCCAAGGAGATGATCTTATTGCACACAAGTAGCTCCATGCCACTGTCATCCTCCAATAATGCTACCAATTCACAGTCTTGACAAATCTTGTTCTTAACATCCCTCATAAGAGGTCCCAATCCAGAGTCCATACTACTGTAAGGATTTCCCACCATGCGTCCCTGAAAGATAAATAATTTTAATGCAGCCTCTCCCCAATTAGCAACGTACTCGTTGACTGATAACTCGGACTTGCGACAGGTTCTCTGACCAGTATGCATACCTAAATAATGTATATTAGAGCCGATTTCCTTTGTTCTGTTTATTACAATACATATACAGTACACAACTGTATAAACATTTAAAAATATACCAGAAATGTTAAAAATGATGCAAAGGTGACATTAAAGCAATATCAAAGGTGGATGATACAAACACACTATCATCATAGTATGCTCCTTGTTTAGTGACGAATTTGTTTACAAATGTGGTCTTAGGAATGGAACTCCGTTGTTAAGTGAGGAGAGTCTGTATTATATTCTAGGGTTAAGACAAGATAATTTCACAATACTGTACTATGAAAACATATGAATGCAACATTACCATAATCCTTAATATACAAGAAAATAAGCATTATTACTTAAAATATGTAGTATTTACCTTACTGATAAAGGGTTACTCTTCAAAATAATCAGTCTCTCAAGGCCTTCACAAATACCAATATACTGAATCAAATCTAATATACAGCATTCCTAACATGTATATTAGGTCTTGACTTTCTTTCTGTAGATGCTTGTCTCAGCAAAGTATCAACTACTCTAAGCTTCACATCTCATAGCTAGCTTTGTTCCATACTTGTGACTTGATAATGGTCTGGCACTTACCCAATTGTCATTTAGTTATAGTTTTCAATTTATGAACTCTTGATTATGAAGACAATGTTACAAATATGAATCTCAATGATTAATAAGTACCTGCAAGAAATCTTCTTGCTGGGGGTCCTTCTCCAAAGTAAGGAAAAACTCTCCAACATCATTTTCCTCAGGATATATGATCGAGCACAGTCTTTCATAAATAAAAACAGGTGTTCTTACATCATCTTGTGGGTACTGTTTTAGTGTATCTACACACACGGCCATGAACTCCTTAGTTTCAGCCTCAGTCCCTGTAATATTAAAAAATTTAATAGAAATTGTACTATTTTAATACACAAAACACCAGCTTGAGTAGTGTGAAACCTATTTGTCCTGGAACTGCTAAAAGCAGGAAAGTTAGATTATTCTTCTTCCCATTCTTGACTCTACCTGATCATTAATGTTAAAAACCACATTTTCATACTTCCATACATAATTTCATGGTAACCCCACACAACATCTAATTTTAAACCTACGAGTCATAGTCCATGTTACTATACTGTGTAAAAGACTAAAGCACTCATTAAATACTAAACAACGCTAAATTTGGCATTAGTGAAACAATAGGCAATACTTGTACAAGCACAAAGCACAAAATTTAGAACTCTATCAAATAAAAGATATTTTTGCAATTAATTTTGGTGGCAGTTATGTTGATCAAAGGTAAAATGCTTGGGACACTTATTAATAATAAGCCAGTGCTGATGAGCACATTATAGAGTATTAAGGTGCATTCTATATAACATTTACACTTATATCAATCTCTTAAGAGAAATGTGCATGTTCAAACATTAGATGAAGAGAATGAAAATACATACCAGATGTCATATCTTCTAGTAGCTCTAGGAATTTATCCTGGGTGTCATCAATTAATTTAGTCCGCTGAACCACCAGTTTGCGTAAGGAAAGGTAACCACTCAGCACTGTGCCAACCAATCGGCCCTTGTATACACTCTTGATGGAATCAACATCAATGAATTGAGAGAGCAATTCTGTCAGGACCTTTAATGCATATCCTAGAGAGAAAGAATTTTTTAGTATTTAACCAAACTCGAAGGGCTGGAAAGTAGACATGGGAATACTATTGATTACCTACATTGAACATCTAAGGACCTGGTTATTAATTTTCAAGAGGTTAAGGTCATTATCACAAATTTTTAGCATTGTGATTCAGCAATTTGGGAATGGCATCACAAACTCAATTTGCAAAGTCAATGCAAATGCAATACTGACCTTGGCTGAGATCAGTGGTAAGTGTGGTTTCCTCTAAAGTGGTGAGCAATTGGATTTCTGAAGAGATGAGACTAGCTATAATAGGTAGAACTCCTTTTAATGCTAAGTAATACTTCCAGTGGGCTCCCACCAGGAGTGTCTGATACAGTGAGACAAATTCACCAGCACTCTCGCCTGCTCTTCCAATCTCTGGCAAGAAAGTTGTCAACATGTCCAAAACCTGCAAATAAAAATGGCCTTTAGACTTCTTTTTTAACAAGACTGTCGTACTGTGTTTCATTAATGTTGCTATTTTTTAAATCAAAATAGCCACTTAAAATTTATTCCTCATCTTTCCTTAACTACAAGTTAATTAAGGATATATTTATATAATGAAACTCAATGAAAATATTTTAAATTATCAGCAGATGGCAACGGTGAGCTATCCAGATGCATCTCAATTTGGTGTAGAGGTAACAAGGTACTAGTAAAGTAAATCAATAATTATCTGGTGCTGAAGGGAATGGAAGGTGTGCCGGATTTCCAAAATGCTAAATGCATCACTTTTTCTAGGTAGTGGATACATAATTGATCAAAGGATAATCAACAATTTTCCGTACATTATATGTGAAACGCTAACCTCTTATGTTATTCAGAACAAGGGTCTACACTTTTTGACCATTAACCCTTTGACTGTTTCAGGCCCCTTTCTGAAACTGTCATTCTATGTCGCTCAATTTTTTGAAAAAGAAAAAAAAAAAAAAAAAAAAAAAAAAAATCTTATGAAATGATAGAGAATCTTTTCCCGATGGTAATGACACCAAAAGTTCGAAATTTGGTCGAAAACTCATGGAATTATGCTCCCACGAAGTTAGCGGCCTCGGCGACACATGCGTATCGGCGATTTTGCCGACTTTGAGCCCTATTTTCAGCCAATTCCATTGTTCCAGTTGACCAAACTTATAACTATTTCTTTAGAACTCCATTTTATCTATCAGCTGAGTACAAGAAACCTCCCATTTACTAATTTGGACTACCCAATATGGTGGTCAGAAATTGGCAATTTGGCCAATTTCACGCAAACTAAAAAAGATGCCAATTTCAAAATAGGGTCCAGAATAAACAAGGTAGACATTCGTGGCACTAAAATAACATATGCTCTGTTCATTAGTCACATCTTTAGGCCCCTCTTATATTATTATTGCCATTTTGATTTTTTATTCATACAAAAAAATACAAAATTTACTGTTATGCAGACTACTGCATTATTGTAAAAATGGTATAAATAATATCAGTGCACTAGTGAAAGAATATTAGACTCCCCAGTTGACATGTATTGGACGTGTGGTGTGATTTATTTACTCCTGAACATTGGTAAAAATCGAACATTTCCGCTACTTTGAGCTCAGTTTCAAGGTTGTTTTCATCGTCAAAGTAATGAAAATCATCTCTATTTCTGTAATATGTTTTCCATTTTATCACCTAAGACCATGAAAACGCGAATACAACGATAAATACTATACGAAAATACACCTCAAAGTTGGCGTTTTATTCCAAAAAAACGATCAGTTTTTTTTTCTCATTACGCAATGTGTGCTGCAGGATTTTTTTTATGTGGTGCACACTGACCACACAGACCCATTCTCTCACATGTGGGCCTACCAGCTTTCTCCCGCTTGATTTGAAGCCGCTAGAATTATTGAGTATATATACGTCAGAAACATTGGCTCGTAAGACGTATTTATACGTCGAAAACAGTCAAAGGGTTAAGCATGAGAAAATCTACTCTCAAAGCCAGGCTTTCCCAAGTATAAAGTACAGTACAGTTCTCTAATTGCCTATGCAGTTTCCATACAATAAATTTTAATTACTACAATGTAAGAATCTTTTTTGATAACACACATTCATCATTCATTCAATAGCTGTCTTGTCAGGAGTGCACAGACATCACAATTTGAATGACCCTCTGAAATGCAACATCCCCACCCTTCCATGTTATCAATAAAAATAAAATGTAAATCTCAAAAAATAAACAGAGTATGGTGCATACCTCTTTCTTCCGCTGCACTGAGGTGCAGAGAGACTCCATCATCTGAGCTGTCACTTGTCTAGCCATTCGTGATGATGGATTAAAGAGGACCCTGCGCAACCATGATGAATCTTGCATCTTTAGGTCATACTGATGACGGATGGTGCGAGCCAGCCATCGGCAACCAAACTTCTCAAGTAAATAGCGTTCATGAACCTCATCCTGATTAGACAGAGTACCATAAACAGTCCTATTATAAAGTCAACAAACTGATTTATCAAAATAAATTTCATACAAAGTAAATGATCCATGCAGTTTCCTTTAAATATTTGTCTAAGTTGATATTAATTTTGGAAAACTAATTACAAATATTATACTATACACTACTTAGAAAATGGAGTTTAATATGTTAATTTATAAATTCTACTTCTTATATTTAATCATTATACAGGTCCTCCATCACAAATCCGGCATCATTGGGACCTGTAGTGTGCCGGATTACTGAGTTTGCCGAATTACAGAGTGGTTAGGTTAGAATACACTTAATAAAATTAACCCACTTGACTTACACAGTTCATTGAACATTGGCAAAAATCGAACATTTCCGCTACTTTGAGCTCAATTTCAAGGTACTTTTCGTCATGAAAGTAATCAAAATCAGGTCTGTTTCTGTAATATATCTTCCATTCTATCAAATGAGTCCAAAAAATGAGAATACAACCACAAAAACCATACAAAAATATACTGCAAAGAGGCGGCTAATGGCTGAGAAGTGAACTCCCTTATTTATCGTCCGTCTTTTTTATTTTTGTTGTACGTTAAGAAGCATCTTTCCATCATACACTGCCCAAGTTTCAGTGAGATAGCCCAACAGACAACCGAGAAAAAAAAAATATTTACCAAAAATCATATATGGCAAGCCCAAGCCAGGTACTGGAAATAAGTCAGTCTGACTTTTTTTTGGGTTATCCTAGGTTCTCTATACATACACTGCTATGTATGATAATCTATGTAACTGTATTTGTGTATACCTGAATAAACTTATTTACTTCTAGTCTGTCAACTGAGTACAAGAAACTGCCCATTCACTTATTTCAACTACCCAATAAAGTGGTCAGAAATTGGCAATTTGGCCGATTTCACACAAATTTCAACAGATGCCAATTTCAAAATAGGGCCCAGAGTAAACAATGCAGACATTCCTGGCACTAAAATAACATTTTCTCTGTTCATTAGTCATGGCTAGAGGCCCCTCTTATATTACTCTTGCTTACCATTTGGAATTAAAAAAAAAAAAAAAAAAACATTTACTGTTATGCAGACTACTGCATTATTGTAATAATTGTATAAATAATGTCAATCCATTCTTGACTCCGTACTGGAATTTAGACTGGCAGGCGGACAGGTATTGGACGGTGACTCACTTGTTTACTCTTGAGCTTCGCTAAAGAATAGAACATTTTCGCTACTGTGAGCGCAATTTCAAGGTACTTTTCGTTATGAAAGCAATCAAAATCATAACTATTTCTGTAATATATCTTTCATTCTATCAAATGAGACCGAAAAAATGAGAATATAACCATAACAACCTTACAAAAATATACCACTAAGCGGCCGCTAATGGCTGAGAAGTGAACTCCGCTATTTATGGTCTGATTTCTTTCATTTTTGGTGTACGTGAAGAAGTATCTTTCCATCATACATTGCCCAAGTTTGAACAAGATAACCCAACAAACAACTGAGAAAATAATAATAATATAATAATAATAATAATTATATTTACTACACGTACATGTACAAGGTATACAGGCCTAGCTGACATCAGTGACATACTACTGTATAGAAAGGCACTTGTTATGCTGAGTATTTCAAGAAAATTATGTCAGTGTCCCAGGATAACACCCACACTAGTCGACTAACACCCGTTTACTGATGGGTAAACATAGACAACAGGTGTAAAGAAACACACCTAATGTTTCTACCCTGGCTGGGAATTGAATATTTACCAAAAATCATATATGGCTAACCCAAGCCAGGTACTAAAAATAAGCCACGTTGACTTTTTTGGGGTTATCCTAGGTTCTCTACACCTATGCTGCTATGTGTGATAATCTATAGAGAGAAAATAGCTTTTTTGTTTCAGGTTTATGGTGTATTACGAGCGTATATCATAGTTAGCCCTGTGCTAAACTCCGTTTTCTCTAATATAAGCCCCCAAGACAAGGATAGGAGAATGGTATTTGTTTACCATATCCTCTTCATAACTCTGTCGAACTGCTTGGTGTTATGCCAAATGTTATTCATTCTGGAGTATTTAACATGTTTTATGTTATTTATATTGTTTCTTATGTCATATTAGATCAATTGTGATAGGCAAATAAGCTGAAGTGTTGATATTAGCATAATAATAAAGCATATTCTCCTGCTTCGTGAGACTGAGCTCATGGCAACCGACAGTGGCTTCAAAGCCACCTTATCTTTAATGGATAATGTACTGTGTAGGTGCTTTACATAATGAGAAGCATTTCTTTTATTCATTGGAACCATGGCTAGGGCTAAAAGAAAGCAGGTTAAAACAATAAATGGAGAAAAAGAAATTGGAATGACTTATGCAGCAAGTAGCGCCACCAAACAGTACCAGCAGGTTGGTGTGGCGACCCTGGAAATTTGAAATTATGCTAGCCAAAATTAGTGCCGAATAACTGAAGGAACCGAATAACTGATTGCTGGATTTGTGATGACAGACCTGTACCCCAAAACATTTCAATTTAATAAGAGTACAAAAATTAGAAAATATGACACCCATTTGAGAGATCCAATATGCACTCTCCGTCTCATGCTTATATTTTTTTTTTACTACACTGACCATTTCCCACTAATACATTCATTAAAATATAAAATGGAAGTAATTTCACCTTACTCAATCTTACCTATACTTGTCTGTGTGTGCAAGTGAACCCCATGTACGGGTAGTAATACCAAGTTAAACTGGGCATTCTGAGATTGTGCAAAGTGGAGTAGAGTTGTATTCCTTTAAGTGATATTCTGTTTCAAATGGCATATTTTTTTCCCTTTTAGAACTGGTCTATTTCAAATGAAAACATCCCATTAACTGCAGAAAAAGCATGTAGTTGCATTCTATTCTAAAATATCCCATAGCATTATATCAAAATAAAAAATGCTGACCTTTGCTCTGTGAAGGAATCAATAGTGCACATTATTTACTCACTTTTTTCATTTTGGAAATGGCAGGTTCCTGAACTCTCCTTGCTAATTTTTTCTTCCAAGTCTCGTATGAATGTCCAGGATCACCTGCCAGCCACTTGCTCACATCCACACCAACCTTATGACAAAATGCAAGATAAAAACTTTTTTACAGGAAACTGTCTACTGAAAAATTAATATTTTAATAATTATACTATTTCACATGTGAAATACTTTTCATCTGCATACATTATATTATACGGTACTGTATTTTTTTTTTTAACACATCGGCCATTTCCCACCGAGGCAGGGTGACCCAAAAAAGAAAAACCCAAAAAGAAAAATAACTTCCATCATCATTCAACACTTTCACCATCACTCACACACAATCACCGTCTTTGTAGAGGCACTCAGACACGACAACTTAAATGTCCCTCCAGACTGCCAATATCCCAAACCCCTCCTTTAAAGTGCTGGCACTGTATGTCCCATTTCCAGGATTTAAGTCCTGGAAATGTACTGAATATGTCTATATAAATAATTTTTATACTGTACATACAAAATATTTTATGTTTTATTAATATTACTCCTGGCTTAAGTCTGCCTGAAATGATTTGTAGAATTGTTACTTTTTTCTTGTAAGATATTTATGTAACAAAGAATGAATCTTTTTAGAAAATAAATGATTGAAATAATGTAATACCTTAGATCCCCCAAGGTATGCAGCCATAAACTCTGTAGCAGTTATTGTAGGTGCAGATGTAGCTCCTGCAGCCCCTGTTGCAGCTGTAACAGAGCTAGTAGGTGTCTTGTCTCGACTCTTGCGAGGCGGGGGAGGTGTAGGTGGCCTCATGACCCCTTGGAGTATGCGAAGACAAGGAAGTGTAATGTGCTCCATTACTGTGGGTGAAGCATTAGATCCACCTGCCATCAAGAACAGCTGAACAACACATCTGAGAAAACAAAACATTAAGAACAAAATATTCAGAGGAAATATAAACACAAAGTATTCATTACATAAAATACAAAATGAAAAATATTAATGTTCATCCTATGTGAATGAAAAACAAAAGGAAAGTAATACATAAAAGTTAGAGTAACATATGGTACAGCCCTGAAGAAAGATTATTAGAGATTATTAACCCTTTCAGGGTCGAGAGGCCCTCTCCTAAACTTGTTCTCAGGGTCGAAAATTTTTCGGAAAAAAAAAAAAAAAAAAAATTTCTAATGAAATGATAGAGAATCTTTTCCCGATCATAATGACACCAAAAGTATGAAATTTGATGAAAAACTCACGGAATTATGCTCTCGCGAAGTTAGCGGTCTCAACGATGTTTACACATCGGTGATTCTGCCCACTTTGAGCCCTATTTTTGGCCAATTCCTGTGTACTATTCGACAAAAATCATATTTATTTCACTAGAACTCCATTTTTTCTATTGAATGAGTACAAGAAACCACCCATTTACCAATTTCAACTATCCAATAAAGTGGTTAGAAATTGGCAATTTTGCTAATTTCAAACAAATTTCAAAAGATGCCAATTTCCAAATAGGGTCCAGAATAAACAAGACATTACTGGCACTAAAATAACAAGTTCTCTGTTCGTTAGTCACATCCCTGTTCGTTAGTCACATCTTTTGCATTCCACTTTAAATTTTTATTCTTACAAAAAATAGAAGATTTACTGTTATGCTGACTACTGCATTAGTGTAGAAATGGTATAAATAATATCAGCACACTTGTGAAAGAATATAAGACTCACCAGTTGACGTTTATTGGACGCTTGGCATGATTTGTTTACCTTTGAACTTTGGTAAAAATCAAACATTTCTGCTACTTTGAGCTCAATTTCAAGGTACTTTTCATTGTGAAACCAGTCAAAATCATTTCAATTTCTGTAATATATCTTCCATTCTATAAAATGAGACCAGGAAAACTAGAATACAACCATAAATACCATACAAAAATACAGTGCAAAGTCGCTGTTTTAATCCAAAAACACGGTCAGTTTTTTTTCTCGTTACGCACTGTGTGCTGCAGGATATTTTTTATACTGCGCACACTGACCACATACACCCATTCTTTCATATGTAGGCCTACCAGCTTTCTCTCGCTAGATTTGAAGGCTCTAGAATTTAGGCGTACTAGTATGTCAATAACCCTGGTGCGTAAGCCGTACTAGTATGTCGAAAACCCTGAAAGGGTTAAACTCAGAGTAAGAAGGATAGAGGAAAATTAAATCTTGGTTCTACCTCTAACTTTCAAATAACCAACCTGAACACCTATCACAACTATTTTTTACATCCCTGTGTCTATTACTGCTCAGCTCATCCCACTTCATTATTATGCTGAAATGCTCTCTGGATGTCCTTGGGGCTCATGAGGATGTATAATTCAACAATATGCTCTTTTCCACCCCTGGTAAAAGCTTATATTTGTCTATCCTCTCCTTGCCTGAAATAGTGAGTGTACTGGACATACAGCAGATGTATGTGTTTGTGTGCGTGTGTGTGTGCGTGTGTGTGCGTGTGTGCGTGTGTGCGTGTGTGTGTGTGTGTGTGTGTGTGTGTGTGTGTGTGTGTGTGCGTGTGTGTGCGTGTGTGTGCGTGTGTGTGCGTGTGTGTGCGTGTGTGTGCGTGTGTGTGCGCGTGCGTGTGCGTGTGCGTGCGTGTGCGCGTGTGTGTGTGTGTGTGTGTGTGTGTGTGTGTGTGTGTGTGTTAGATTGAAATGAATGGAGACGAATGGTTTTTGGGACCTGACGAGCTGTTGGAGTGTGAGCAAAGTAATATTTCGGGAAGGGATTCAGGGTAACCGGTGAGCGAGATTCGAGTCCTGGAAGTGGTAAGGATCCTGCACTCTAAAGGAGGGGCTTTGGGATATACATACTATTTGGAGGGACATCTACACTGTCATATCTGCACGTGAATGATGGCAAAAGTATTTCTTTCTCAAGTCACCCTGCGTCAGTGGGAGACACCCAGCATATTAAAAAAAAAATTCTCTTGTTCTTCAATCTTCCACAGACAGGCCTAATTCTTGCCTTCCTTCTGCACAGCTTATTCCCCTCAGCTCAGACACCAATATGGGTACAGTGTGTTTCAGCTTTGGGCTCCATATTAGTGCTGCACAAGAATATGCAGAATGAATAATTTAAGAAGTGTTTTTATCAAGTATTGGTTTGGGTTTCTGAATGACATTATGTTTACAAGCTTCAACTTTTCTGAGCATTTTTTCTATTTGTGTGTGCTTCAGGGGATACATTTTTAACTATGCTTGGGTTTCTTTGTTTCCATAAGCTTTCATCCCCCTCTTAGATGGGGTACTCTAGTTACACTAAAAATATTGGGATCACACTGATCATTGAAGGACTCCACTAGTTGCATCCCTTAGAGTAACACTATTTACAACTGTTCAAGTACTCCATTATTTATGTTGATACATTTCCTATGGTACATTTCTATGGAAGAAGTGAATGTTTTCAGATACTTGGGAGTTGACGTGTCGGCGAATGGATTTATGAAGGATGAGGTTAATCATAGAATTGATGAGGGAAAAAAGGTGAGTGGTGCATTGAGGTATATGTGGAGTCAAAAAACGTTATCTATGGAGGCAAAGAAGGGAATGTATGAAAGTATAGTAGTACCAACACTCTTATATGGGTGTGAAGCTTGGGTGGTAAATGCAGCAGCGAGGAGACGGTTGGAGGCAGTGGAGATGTCCTGTTTAAGGGCAATGTGTGGTGTAAATATTATGCAGAAAATTCGGAGTGTGGAAATTAGGAGAAGGTGTGGAGTTAATAAAAGCATTAGTCAGAGGGCAGAAGAGGGGTTGTTGAGGTGGTTTGGTCATTTAGAGAGAATTGATCAAAGTAGAATGACATGGAAAGCATATAAATCTATAGGGGAAGGAAGGCGGGGTAGGGGTCGTCCTCGAAAGGGTTGGAGAGAGGAGGTAAAGGAGGTTTTGTGGGCAAGGGGCTTGGACTTCCAGCAAGTGTGCGTGAGCGTGTTAGATAGGAGTGAATGGAGATGAATGGTACTTGGGACCTGACGATCTGTTGGAGTGTGAGCAGGGTAATATTTAGTGAAGGGATTCAGGGAAACCGGTTATTTTCATATAGTCGGACTTGAGTCCTGGAAATGGGAAGTACAATGCCTGCACTTTAAAGGAGGGGTTTGGGATATTGGCAGTTTGGAGGGATATGTTGTGTATCTTTATATGTGTATGCTTCTAAACTGTTGTATTCTGAGCACCTGTGCAAAAACAGTGATAATGTGCGAGTGTGGTGAAAGTGTTGAATGATGAAAGTATTTTCTTTTTGGGGATTTTCTTTCTTTTTTGGGTCACCCTGCCTCGGTGGGAGACGGCCAACTTGTTGAGAAAAAAAAAAAAAAAAAAAAAAAAATTTCCTGTTACCCTTGTTAAGAAGCCTTTAACCCTTAAACTGTCCAAACGTAGATCTACGTTTTTACAACATTTGAAAGTATGTAAAAAATGTAGATCTTCTTTTTGTTTTTTGTTTTTTACATTTGAAAACGTGTAAAAAAAAACTCTGATCTACATTTTTTTGTTATATCTGAAAATATGTAAAAAAACATAGATCTACTTTTGGAGCACTACGAATTTGAACACAGACCTGTTTGGACAGTTTAAGGGTTAATGTGGCACTATATCAAAAGCTTTCTTATAGTCAATGTCTTAGCAAGGAATACACAGAAAAGAATAAAAATATGATGAGGGGAAGGTATAAATATTATCTGAATAATTAGTATGACTCTATAATTTAAATAAAATTAAAATAACTTCTCTACCTAAGTCGATATTCCCAGCATGAATCTTCCTTCTGAGCCGAGGAAGCAAGTAGACCCATCTCGTGTCTAACAGCAGCTGCGAGGTCTGGTGAAGTTACATGAGAGCGAAGTGCTACACTTATTTTATCCATGATGAGGTGATTCAGCTCTTGAGTGGCTGACAAATCATCCTTTGTCAACAGACACAAGAGCTGACGGACTTCACTTCTTACCTGTAAATATACAGTAATATTAGAGTCCAAATATACATATGAATACATGGTGGTAATCTAATTTTTTAAAATACCAAGAATGTTTTTTTCCGCACATCAGCTATTTTTTACCCATGTAGTGCAACCCAAACAAGGAAATATTCGCCATTAAATCACTTCATATGATATTCGACTTCCTGACACTAGAGAAAAAAATATAAAACTATTGGGGAAAAAATGACCTTCAAAAACATACTGAACACATTCACTAAAGCTGTCAAGACAGGTATTTTGACTTGTCAAAATGTATCTCTGAAGATTCAAACTCTACAATCACTTTTTTTTTTTTCAGAAATGATCAAGAAAAGCTGCCACCAATGAGCCATAGCACTGAAGCATTGCTATACAACAGGCTCTTAATGCAAATGCTCATTATATTTAAACCTACTTCAAACATGGGAAAAAACCTTAATTAATAACAAGGATCCTTCCCTCTTCCCCATCACAGATAATAAATATAATTCATTGCTTTTCAAAAACCACTACTACATTCAATTCTTTTACAATACCATTTATAACTATGTTAAACAACTACAATGACAACACACATACTTGTCTTAGGCCTACTTTTACTGAAAAATAGTTCCCCTATCTCTTGCATACCTGCACCTCACAATCCTCATAAAAAGTTCTTTGTTTTTAGTAGCCTACTACCTATTCTTTACCATAACATCTTCCATATTGCTCTCTACCTTATATGCCTTTTTTAAATCCATAAATGCAATAAACATCTTTATAAAAATTACAAGGAAGCTCCTAGAATAAGCATTAACTTGAAAAATATGGTTTGAGTACAGAATCCTGCAATGTAACATTTTATGATAACATATTTCAAATTAATCTATTAAGAGCAGTATTGAGATGCTCAAGAAAAAAAAAAAAATTTCACATACATTCCTCAAACAAACATTTACAATAAAGATGTATACAATTTAATCATGCAAGGAAACAATATTATTTGCAAAAGGACACTGTAGATGACATCCTGGTCTGTTGACAACCAAAACATCATTTACTTTCCTTTCCAAACTGTTCCAGCCACAGTACTGTGTTTTAGTTTATTTTTGTTAAATGTTGATGAAGATAGGGAAGCTGTGATTTCGTGTATAGGGCAAGGAGGAATAACATCTTGTAGGAGTGAGGAAGAGCCAGTTGTGAGTGTGGGGGAAGTTCGTGAGGCAGTAGGTAAAATGAAAGGGGGTAAGGCAGCTGGGATTGATGGGATAAAGATAGAAATGTTAAAAGCAGGTGGAAATATAGTTTTGGAGTGGTTGGTGCAATTATTTAATAAATGTATGGAAGAGGGTAAGGTACCTAGGGATTGGCAGAGAGCATGCATAGTTCCTTTGTATAAAGGCAAAGGGGACAAAAAAGAGTGCAAAAATTATAGGGGGATAAGTCTGTTGAGTATACCTGGTAAAGTGTATGGTAGAGTTAAAATTGAAAGAATTAAGAGTAAGACGGATAATAGGATAGCAGATGAACAAGGAGGCTTTAGGAAAGGTAGGGAGTGTGTGGACCAGGTGTTTACAGTGGAACATATAAGTGAACAGTATTTAGGTAAGGCTAAAGAGGTTTTTGTGGCATTTATGGATTTGGAAAAGGCATATGACAGGGTGGATAGGGGGGCAATGTGGCAGATGTTGCAGGTGTAGTGTAGGAGGTAGGTTACTGAAAGCAGTGAAGAGTTTTTACGAGGATAGTGAGGCTCAAGTTAGAGTATGTAGGAAAGAGGGAGATTATTTCCCAGTAAAAGTAGGCCTTAGACAAGGATGTGTGATGTCACTGTGGTTGTTTAATATATTTCTAGATGGGGTTGTAAGAGAAGTAAATGCGAGGGTCTTGGCAAGAGGCGTGGAGTTAAAAGATAAAGAATCGCACAAAGTGGGAGTTGTCACAGTTGCTCTTTGCTGATGACACTGTGCTCTTGGGAGATTCTGAACAGAAGTTGCAGAGGTTGGTGGATGAATTTGGTAGGGTATGCAAAAGAAGAAAATTAAAAGTGAATACAGGAAAGAGTAAGGTTATGAGGATAACAAAAAGATTAGGTAACGAAAGATTGGATAACAGATTGGAGGGAGAGAGTATGGAGGAGGTGAATGTATTCAGATATTTGGGAGTGGACGTGTCAGCGGATGGGTCTATGAAAGATGAGGTGAATCATAGAACTGATGAGGGGAAAAGGGTGAGCGGTGCACTTAGGAGTCTGTGGAGACAAAGAACTTTGTCCTTGGAGGCAAAGAGGGGAATGTATGAGAGTATAGTTTTACCAATGCTCTTATATGGGTGTGAAGCATGGGTGATGAATGTTGCAGCGAGGAGAAGGCTGGAGGCAGTGGAGATGTCATGTCTGAGAGCAATGTGTGGTGTGAATATAATGCAGAGAATTCGTAGTTTGGAAGTTAGGAGGAGGTGCGGGATTACCAAAACTGTTGTCCAGAGGGCTGAGGAAGGGTTGTTGAGGTGGTTCGGACATGTAGAGAGAATGGAGCAAAACAGAATGACTTCAGGAGTGTATCAGTCTGTAGTGGAAGGAAGGCGGGGTAGGGGTCGGCCTAGGAAAGGTTGGAGGGAGGGGGTAAAGGAGGTTTTGTGTGCAAGGGGCTTGGACTTCCAGCGGGCATGCGCGAGCGTGTTTGATAGGCTTTTAATACTTGACGTGCTGTTGGAGTGTGAGCAAAGTAACATTTATGAAGGGATTCAGGGAAACCGGCAGGCCGGACTTGAGTCCTGGAGATGGGAAGTACAGTGCCTGCACTCTGAAGGAGGGGTGTTAATGTTGCAGTTTAAAAACTGTAGTGTAAAGCACCCTCCTGGCAAGACAGTGATGGAGTGAATGATGGTGAAAGTTTTTCTTTTTCGGGCCACCCTGCCTTGGTGGGAATTGGCCAGTGTGTCAATAATAAAAAAAAAGTTAATTAGGGCCAGATGACTCACTGCCTCCCAACTATATAATCTATATATCACAGTAATAAAGATGAAGCACAAACCTTTACCTGAACGGTTCCGCGTCGAAGATTATATTCTAGAAGATCATTTATCAATCCGTGCTGACACAGGGATGCTCTCAATGTAGCATTTGTGGCCAGAGCACGCAGGAGAGTGATGCAGTGTTCAGTTGCTGATGCTGCACAACCATAACAACGACCAGCAGCTACAGCTCCATCTTCAGGGTTACTATATACAATTCCACTTCGACCCAAGGGTGATATTACAGTTTTCTTTCCACCATCCTTTTGTGAGCGGTCGAAGTTCACTAATTCTCTGCGGGATGCCTGCACTCGCTAAAATGTAGAAGAGTTATGAATTAACAAAATAATCAAAAGAAAACAAAGTGTAATTACCTATTTGAATTTGCAGGAGTTGAGTTCCAGCTCTTGATCTTACTTCCCAACTTCTGACTAAGGTAACTGAACCCTGGTATATTTATTTTCGAACTATATGAAGGCTGCTTCCACTGTCATGGCTCAATTCATTGCATTTTGCCAGTCTTATATTGAAAAAATGCTGTCTGGTATCCCTTTGGTTCATTTAGACACATGATACCTAACTATGCAACCTTGTTGTTATTTCATTACCTGATAAAAAAAAAATTATCTTTGACAACCTGGAGAGTACAATGGGTTAACACCCCTATGGCCCAGTCCTAGACCAGGCCTCCCTGTGGATGGTCTGGGACTGGTGTTAGCGGCACAAAATTTAATATATGCACAGCAGCCCAGCTTATCATAGACTGACTTTAGATGTTTGTTGGTAATTACCCTTATCCATGATGCCAAAATCACAAAATTGGTATAAAAAAAATGGAAAATCAGGTAAAATACTACTCTTCCCTAAAATCTCTACTATTTCTATTTATGTGTCAGCTTTTCATACCTGGATAACTTTGGAGAGATCATCAAAGGAATTTTTGCAGTCACCACAATACTTCTGAGCCAGCTGCTGTATGGCTCGGTTCACCTGAGTGCCTCCCGAGCTCCCTTCATCGGCACTTCTAACAGCACCTTGCTCACTGATGCGCACCAGTAACAGCTGTTAATCAAAGTATATGATTTCCATGTTTATTTTAAATGAAAGTATGGTTCACAATTTTACGACATTGTGTGAATATTATATCAAGATTTTTCAGAACAATAGTATTTTATTTTAAGTACATTCATTTAACGACATTTAGGGAACAAATGAATACAATAGCAATCTGCCTCCCATTTAACTGTTTAAGTGCCTAGTGCCTTAATTATTAATATTAACTTCAATCCTACATAAATGTGCATTAGCTACAGCACTGTTCAATGTGTTACATATTACAGTAATATATGTAATTACTATGAATACTGAATAAACTTAATTATAGTACCTTCAGGTCTGCTTGAAATACTGTACATATATAACATAGGCTACAAAAAAATCACATCCAGCATCAATCACATTTACTCAAGTAAAATCACCCTGCCTCGGTGGGAGACGACCGACTTGTTGAAAAAAAAAAAAAAAAAATCGGAATTGCATGTCACTGACAAGAGGGGAAAGAATAAGCAATGATTCTTTTCCTGAGAACATATTTAAGAAAATAAGTTTGCCATTCCCAAAATCACTCGCATTATTACTGTTTGATATTCAATACTTTAGAATACAGAATTGGCCACAAGTTAAGAGTGTATCTCAAGGTTTTGCATATACACTTTTTATAATGCTATAGAAAAGTATGAAGGATGCAGCTCTGTAGTGTGTGTGTTCCTTAAACATTTTTATGCCATCCTTGTCACTACCTTTCTTTCACTCAGTTCACAATAATTCACTACACATTTTTCACCATATAGATTCACCACATCCCTCCTTTCCAAGTGCACAAATTAACTGATAACTATCCATCTGTAACATAACATCTTTTCAAAATATGTACTTAAGCTCTAACTTGTCCCTTTCTCATAATAGTATATATAAATACAGGTTACCTAGGCATCTATCTTTTCTATCTGTACATTCTTCATCTTATAAGAGACACGGCTACACTTTCATACTTATATCCTTGGCCATTAATTTTCTCAAGAAACTCGGCTAAACACAATCACACTACATATGCAGACAGACAAATAATTAGGAGAAAATACACATACAGTGGACCCCCGCATAACGATTACCTCCGAATGTGACCAATTATATAAGTGTATTTATGTAAGTGAGTTTGTACGTGTATGTTTGGGGGTCTGAAATGGACTAATCTACTTCACAATATTTCTTATGGGAACAAATTCGGTCAGTACTGGCACCTGAACATACTTCTGGAGTGAAAAAATATCGTTAACCGGGGGTCCACTGTACTTTATTGTTGTGTCCAGCTAGAATGAATGAAGAGTACTGTGTAAGGAAAAGATGTCACAACAGTGAACACTATATATCTACCTCCAAGGTTGGTTTGTATGCTTGAAGTTGCTTGTATGATCTATCAGCCTTTTCAAGCAAGGTATTGATATTGAGTACAGCTTTCTTACGGTCATCCTCATTTTCAATAGGATCCACAGCACAGCATGGTCGGCACTGCAGAGTGTAGTCAAACTTGGCATACTTGCAGTAACCACATGCATTGCAAAGGAATGGGTCTTTTTCATCATAATTTATGGCCCTGTGTGGTGAATAAACATTGACATTAGTTCCAATATTTAGTTATTTTAAGCTTTAAACATACAATACATTGCATACAGTAATTTTTATTACATTTTGGCCCAACACACAAGATTATACATGTATATGAATGCTTGTAAAGTCCAGTCTTCATTAGTTAATTTATCATGTATTTTTTTTTTTAAGTTTTCAATGGCTGTAGTATTACAGCCACTATCAGTACAGTACTATCTTTTGAATCCTATTCTAGTAGTCTATCACTACAAGTGAAAAAAATATTTTTATTGCCCCTTTGTAATCCTGTATCACCCAACTAAAGGATTTTCAACTTCATGTTAATTGTTGGTAAGAAGTACAGTGCTGTCATTATCTAACTGCTACACAGGCAATTACTGTTGAATTTAATGTTGTAATTTGCTTTCCTTGATTTTTATGCAAGCTAGAAATACACCTGCTTAAATGGGCTGAAGAACAAAGGTTATGTTAGGGGTATTTTATCACAAAGCCTGGCTCAACTGTATGCCACAATGGCAAGTTGGCACTAAAAGCTCTCTTATGTTACCAAGTGAATTCCATCTAAATTTGGCAACATGGAAATAACTAGGAATACAGCAAAATGTGTTTTGATAGAAATTTTACCTATCATTCTCCCTTGGTGAAGAGAGACTGCTGCAGAATAAAGATATACCTTTAAGAGATGCTATGAGTATACAGTGCTTGTCATTCAAGTGTGTCGGGCCCCCACTTAAATAACTTTAGAACATCCTTCAACCATCTAGGAAGTGATTAACACATTCTTCAGAATTCCATGGGGTAAATTTTTCCCTAAGTCACAGGAGACTGACCACACAGTGCAGGGTTACTACAGACACAACCATCTACCACACCAGCCCAGAAGGGAAAGGGTGCAGCCAGAAGCCATCATGAGATATCCCATTTTCGAGCTGCCAGGCCAGTATAAAAGTGTCTTATCGACATATGTATCAGGGTGCCTTCCTTTCATTGTACTTTAATGGCAAGTGCTGTGTGTGTGTGTGTGAGAGTGTGAGTGTGAGTGTGAGTGTGAGTGTGTGTGTGTGTGTGTGTGTGTGTGTGTGTGTGTGTGTGTGTGAGAGTGTGTGGTGTGAGAGTGTGTGTGTGAGAGTGTGTGTGTGTGAGAGTGTGTGTGTGTGAGAGTGTGTGTGTGTGAGAGTGTGTGTGTGTGAGAGTGTGTGTGTGTGTGTGTGTGAGAGTGTGTGTGTGTGAGAGTGTGTGTGTGTGAGAGTGTGTGTGTGAGAGTGAGTGGTGAGTGTGTGAGTGTGTGAGTGTGTGAGTGTGTGTGTGTGTGTGTGTGTGTGTGTGTGTGTGTGTGTGTGTGTGTGTGTGTGTGTGTGTGTTGTGTGTGTGTGTGTGTGTGTGTGTGTGTGTGTGTGTGTGTGTGTGTGTGTGTGTGTGTGTGTGTGTGTGTGTGTGTGTGTGTGTGTGTGTGTGTGTGTGTGTGTGTGTGTGTGTGTGTGTGTGTGTGTGTGTGGTGTGTGTGTAGGTAGTAGGTTGGTAGACAGCAACCGCCCAGGGAGGTACTACCGTCCTGCCAAGTGAGTGTAAAACGAAAGCCTGTAATTGTTTTACATGATGGTAGGATTGCTGGTGTCCTTTCTTCTGTCTCATGAACATGCAAGATTTCAGGTATGTCTTGCTACTTCTATTTACACTTAGGTCACACTACACATACATGTACAAGCACATATATACACACCCCTCTGGGTTTTCTTCTATTTTCTTTCTAGTTCTTATTCATGTTTATTTCCTCTTATCTCCATGGGGAAGTGGAACAGAATTCTTCCTCCGTAAGCCATGTGTGTTGTAAGAGGCGACTAAAATGCCGGGAGCAAGGGGCTAGTAACCTCTTCTCCTGTATATATTACTGAATGTAAAAGGAGAAACTTTCATTTTTCCTTTTGGGCCACCCTGCCTCGGTGGGATACAGCCGGTGTGTTGAAAGAAAGAATATATATGCATGAAACCATGTTTAACTGCAGAGAAGAATGATATGAATCACCTGCACTTGTGACACTGGTAAACATTTTCTCCACAATTGGCACAGACACCAGGAGATGCTGGCACAGCTGCTGAGCATCGAGGGCACTGAAGTGTCTCTGTAGAAGCCTGAAAACAGATAATTTTATTGTTCCAAGGTCAATAAAACTGGAGATAATTAAGAGGAAAATTACACACTGATTCAAGATGAGATGCTCTTTATATTAGAATTGTAAAAAATCTTGTGACAAATTTATCAATGTCCCACCATCTATAATCATCTTCAAAAGAGCCTTTAATATCATAAAACATCTATACATTTGAGAAAAAATCGTATCAAGCTTCATGAAAAATATTTATTATAAAATTTAAACAAAAATATTTACCTGAAGATTCTCATAGAAGTCTGTGTACTCAAACATGAGGTTACAAGCAATGATGGGAAGAGGGAAGTCAATTTTTACCTCAATCTGACCAGCAGATAAGGTCACCTTCTTTGCACGGTGCCACATAGCTAGTGAATTAAAATAGCAACTTAATAAACTGTCCACATAACTGATCTGTAATTCATACATTTATAATTAATATTCCATTCAGTTTCCATGGGGAAGTGGAACAGAATTCTTCCTCCTTAAGCCATGCGTGTCGTAAAAGGCGACTAAAATGCCGGGAGCAAGGGGCTAGCAACCCCTTCTCCTGTAAATATTACTAAATATAAGATTAGAAACTTTTGTTTTTCCTTTTGGGCCACCCCGCCTCAATGGGATACGACCGGTGTGTTGAAAGAAGAAGAAAGATTCCCTTCAGCTCTCAAAGCATAATAATAATTTTTTTTTTTTTCAACAAGTCGGCCGTCTCCCACCGAGGCAGGGTGACCCAAAAAAGAAAGAAAATCCCCAAAAAGAAAATACTTTCATCTTCATTCAACACTTTCACCACACTCACACATTATCACTGTTTTTGCAGAGGTGCTCAGAATACAACAGTTTAGAAGCATATACGTATAAAGATACACAACATATCCCTCCAAACTGCTAATATCCCAAACCCCTCCTTTAAAGTGCAGGCATTGTACTTCCCATTTCCAGGACTCAAGTCCGACTATATGAAAATAACCGGTTTCCCTGAATCCCTTCACTAAATATTACCCTGCTCACACTCCAACAGATCGTCAGGTCCCAAGTATCATTCGTCTCCATTCACTCCCATCTAACACGCTCACGCACGCTTGCTGGAAGTCCAAGCCCTTCGCCCACAAAACCTCCTTTACCCCCTCTCCAACCCTTTCAAGGACGACCCCTACCCCTCCTTCCTTCCCCTATAGATTTATATGCTTTCCATGTCATTCTACTTTGATTCATTCTCTCTAAATGACCTAACCACCTCAACAACCCCTCTTCTGCCCTCTGACTAATGCTTTTATTAACTCCACACCTTCTCCTAATTTCCACACTCCGAATTTTCTGCATAATATTTACACCACACATTGCCCTTAGACAGGACATCTCCACTGCCTCCAACCGTCTCCTCGCTGCTGCATTTACCACCCAAGCTTCACATCCATATAAGAGTGTTGGTACTACTATACTTTCATACATTTCCTTCTTCGCCTCCATAAATAAAATGTTCCTAACAATTTTAAATATTGAAGATCATCAATTATTTTTTAGGTTATCCAGACTGATTATCCAGGAATGGATAATCTGTTTGGATGCCATTAGCCAATTAACCACTAATCCTCTCATCCACAGATACTACTACATTAGCCAATTAACCACAAATCCTCCTCTCATCCACAGATACTACAACAGATTGTTTCCATATACCCTTACATAAATGCCAAATGGCTAGTATATTAAATGTCAACTTCAACAGTTTCAGGAATTTATCATAAATCTATTATTAAGGAGGGTGTTTAGCAATACTTTTTAACAGTGACCAAATACTTTTGTTTCAAGTTTCTTAGATCAACAGCATTAGTACCCTAGTCCAGTTAACTAGACGACTTCTGGAGATGTAAAGTATAGTGCCTGCATTCTCAAGGATGCGTGGAGACAGTGAGGTTTAAGGGTCATAAGAACTCAAGAAGGAAGCACTACTACTGCAGGCCTACTGCCCCAAGCTAATCAGGTCCACCTCACACCCACCCACATCCACTAATGTACTGTCTAACCTATTTTGAAAGCTAATTATTTGATAGTACTGTCTGTACATTTCTGGAAAGACAGCTATTGAAAGAACAAATCTGAATGTTTCTTGGGTCACCCTACCTTGGTGGGAGATGGCTAATGTGTTTAACCCTTTCAGGGTCCATCCCGTAGATCTACGGCTTCACGTTCAGTGTCCAAACCGTAAATCTATGCCAAAATTTTAGTGCCGTCAAATTTAGTGTGAAAACGCTCATAGGCCTACATGTGAGAGAACGGTTCTGCATGGTGGGTGTGCGCCACAAACAAAAAATCTAGGCGCCCGCATAGCAATGTGGGAACGCCGGCTCAGTTACCCTTGTTCACCATGCCTCGTCGCAAAGCAGCTCTCACTCCAAGGAAAATTGAGACTCTCCTCTTCCTATCTGATAGTTCTGACACTGATGGAAGTGGAAATGAAGATTAATTCTTTGGCTTTGATCAGTTAGTGACCGAAAGGAATGACCAGGATATCGATAATAGTGCAGAAAACCCTGACGATCCTCAACCTTCTACCTCTGGTGTGGGAACTCCTCAGTCACGGTCAGTTGTACCTCAACGCAAGAGAAAACTATTATTTTCGCGTGGCCAGGCCTCTGACTTCAGTAATGATGATGATAGTGACGTGGATTGTGATTTTATTGCTCCTGACGATCATTTGAGTAGTGATAGTGAGGAAACATATTCACCAGTGAAGCGTCGGTATGTACGCCGCCGCATGCGCTCGGGTAGTGTATCCTATGCCGTGCCCAGGGGACGGAGTACATCCCGGAGTACATCCCGTGGCCCTACACCAGGAATAGACAGTGAAAGTGAGGATGATGTGGCTACACTTGGCATGGATAGACCACAGGCATCAGTAGATGGTGGTAGTGGTGATGGTAGTGCCACGGCCATGCGTGACTCACCAGCCCAGGGTGGGACCCACGCTGCCGACTCCGCAGTTCAAGGACTAAGCGGAGCGTCAGCCACCAGCCCACCACAACTACCCGCACAACCAGCCTATGATGTCCAGTATCCACCAGCAAACCGTATCTGGGAGTGGCAGTAAAATCCCAATTTTGTTCCCAAGCCCCACCACTTTGATAACTCTCAAAGTGGAATTCTACCTACTTGTCCCCTTGGAACCATGGCCAATGAACTGGAATTTTTTGAAATATTCTTTGACCAGCCCTTGATGGAAATTATTGTCAGGGAAAGTAACAAGTATTTTGAGTACACCATGGCAAATACGATGATATCACCACAGTCAAGACTACACTGGTGGAAAGAGACGACTGTTGCAGAAATGTATTTGCTTTTTGCAACAATAATGCTTATGCCTCATGTCTATAAGCATAATATAAAAGCATACTGGTCCACAGATCGGCTAATTTCTACCCCGGTCTTCAGTGAAATCATCCCAGTGAACAGGTTTATCTTACTGTTACGTATGTTGCACTTCTCTGACAAAACCAGGCCTGACAGAAGTGACAGATTATACAAGATTAGAAATGTTTTTATGTATCTCAAACAAAAGTTCAGCATGTACTTTTATCCGTTCAAGAATCTTGTAAGTGACGAGTTTTTGATTTTGTTCAAAGGTAGGCTGTCATTCAAGCAGTATATACCGAGCAAGAGGAAACGCTTTGGTATAAAACTGTTTGTACTATGTGACTGTGACAGTGGCCTGGTATTGGGCATTGTTGTATGCACGGTTAGTAAAACATTGAAAGATACCAAGATGTTATTGGGTATCTCAGGTGACGTAGTGAGAAGCATGATGGCACCTTATCTTGGTAAGGGGTATACCGATAACTGGTACACAAGCCTTTTACTCAGTGATTTCTTGTGAGTGAACAAGACAGATGTGTGTGGAACAGTGCGTTCTAATCGTAAACATATGCCCAGGCTCAACGCAGGTGCTCGTGGTGATGACATGCAGGTGTTTACTGCCAATGACATCATGGCATTACGGTAGCATGACAAACGAGATGTCACATTGTTGACAACCATTCACCGTAACGAAATGCAAGACAGTGGCAAAGTTGATCGAGTGACTAATGAACGTATTCAAAAACCAGTGACAGTGTTTGATTATACACAAAACATGCGCTTGGTTGACAAATGTGACATGCAGATTGGCTTTGTTGATTGTGTTCGCAAAAGTTACAAGTGGTACATGAAACTTCTCTTTCATCTCATGAACATTTCAATGCTCAATGCATATAATATGTACCAAATGAAGACTGGCAACAGACCACCGTATGGTGAATTTTGTTTGTCTATTGTCAGACAACTCATAATTAAGTACCAGGTAACAACACCTGCTATATAACAAGGTCCTCGAACTCCTCAGGATATACCCAAGCGTTTGAGGAGGGAAGGTGATCATTTCATAATACAGCTTCCTGTAACTAAGAAGAAATTTGCTCAGAAGAGATGCATCATCTGTGCACAAACAAAACGACGGCAACAAAGACGCAAAGACACTTGGTTTATGTGAGAGGAATGTAAGGTACCTCTGTGCATGGTGCCTTGTTTCAAGGAGTTCCACAAGCTCCAGCAGTTCTAAAACCATGTTCAGTGATTGTAAATATGTTAATATATGATAAAACATTAGTATTATACAAGATTTGTGCATGTTTATTGTAATAAACAAAAGTGGTAAACAATAATATGATAATAACTTTAGTGCGGTTATTGTGTTCAATACAGTGAGCTTATATATATACATTATATACAGTATTGGTCTCTCAGGCCCTAAATGTTAGTAGGAAAAGAAAAAAATTAGAGAAGAAAAGAAAAAACTACAAAAAACATTAAATAAAGTAATGCGCGTATGTGGAAATCATCGATGTTGCCGCCACCACGTCATTTTGGGTCAACTTCTCGGCACTGTATCTCAGTAAGTACTGATCAGAATTTTTTTTTTTGTCTTATTACCTTCACAAAAATATACTCTAATTCTGTAAGAATTTTTTTTTTTTTTTTTTTTTTTTTTCAAAAATTTCTTTGACACTGGAGCACCACTTCAGATTTTGGCCTTGGACCCTGAAGGGGTTAAAAAAGTAACATATTATAGATAAAACTGATCAAGATATACACCATAAGGGCTTACCTGGTTTGTTCTTTAGTTCTACAACAGCTTGCACTGAGCGATTATTGTAAAAAATGTTAAGAGTGCGGACCATTTTTGTACGCTTAAGATCAGCTATGCGAAGTGTCAGGCGACTGATCATATGACTTCCAACCAGTTTAACCAGCTGAGTTGTTGTTGTGAAGCGAGAATCAACCTACAAGATAAATAAAAACTAGGTATAGTGTACAGTAATTAAATAAAATAAATAAAATACAAGGACAGAGAAAAGACCAAGACATGGAAAATAACAGAAAACTTATACAGAAACCAATGTTTGTCAAGACAGCAACGTAAAGGATAAAATTTAGCAATGATTCTACATACTGTACCTTTACTGTGGATAATTTAACACTGGTGAATGGAACTTCTGGGTTGTTGCAGACAAGGCATGGCTCAGACTCTAAGTAGTAGCCATCAAACTCTACCAGAGAAGCCAAGGAGTTGTATAAATTGGCATTAGGGTGGTTGGCCAAGAGCTGAGATTGCGTTCGAAGAACTGTCACAGCTCGATTGATATATTCTATCACCTGCCAATACAAGTTTTATCAAAATATTAGTACAGTAGCTTCTAATGACTATGAAGGTCTCTCCTTTTTTTTAACAAATTTATATTAAAACATTAAGCCCACTAACTTTTAAATAAAACTGAATTAAGCTTTCTTAAAAGGCTACTCGAATTTAAAATAAAATTTGTATAAAAAATTCTATATTTTTAATAAAGACTTGACTCGTCCATTTCCAAAACTAAACTTAAAGATAAATAAAAACTAGATTTTACAAAATTATTTAGTTGTAGTAATGGAGTTCACAAGACAGACCACTGACTGCTCTTATAATTTTCTTTGTAGTACATGAGAGCTTTTCCACTATGGTAATGACTCAAAGGAAACTCGTTCACCATCACTCATTTAGTAGCCGTTTTACTTGAAATATGAAGACAAGACATTTCATATGAACTTCCCAACTGCAACACACACCCATAGTCTAGTGCTGTCACTGTAATTCCTATCTCGAGCATTCAAATCCTGAAAACCACTGTCCCTGAATACCTTCACTAATGTTAAGTAGTTTACACTTGGCAACATAAATCGTCTTTCTTGACAATCTGATCTAAAATGCTCATTCTCTCCCTCTAACCTTTCCTGCTCTATCTTTCTCATTCTCCAAACCATGTCAACAACCCCTCTCACAAAAAATAGGGCACAGATGTATAAGAAAAAACATACCTTTTTCTCACAGTGTTGAGTTTTGAGAGAGAAGTATCCCAACAGATCTACGAACTGGGCTGCTTTTCGACCATAAGCAGGAAGATGAGGCCATAGTGACCACATGAGGGTGAGAAGGGTGTCTTGGTCTCTTGGAGGAGAGTGTTTATACAAGGCAAGAACAAGCGAATGGGCCTGCCACCTTACACCCGTCGAGTTAGATTCCAATAAGAACGTACGTACAAACTGACTTATACGGTTGCGGTCCAAATACCTTAATGAAAAAAGAAATAAAGCTCTTGTGTATAAACATTTAAATCATGGTTGACAAATTATTTATGCTTTATGGTAATTATTATTATTTTTTTATTATCACACCGGCCGATTCCCACCAAGGCAGGGTGGCCCGAAAAAGAAAAACTTTCACCATCATTCACTCCATCACTGTCTTGCCAGAAGGGTGCTTTACACTACAGTTTTTAAACTGCAACATTAACACCCCTCCTTCAGAGTGCAGGCACTGTACTTCCCATCTCCAGGACTCAAGTCCGGCCTGCCGGTTTCCCTGAATCCCTTCATAAATGTTACTTTGCTCACACTCCAACAGCACGTTTAAGTATAAAAACCATTTGTCCTCATTCACTCCTATCCAAAAACGCTCACGCATGCCTGCTGGAAGTCCAAGCCCCTCGCACACAAAAACCCCCTTTACCCCTCCCTCCAACCCTTTCCCAGGGGCCGACCCCTACCCCGCCTTCCTTCCACTACAGACTGATACACTCTTGAAGTCATTCTGTTTCGCTCCATTCTCTCTACATGTCCGAACCACCTCAACAACCCTTCCTCAGCCCTCTGGACAACAGTTTTGGTAATCCCGCACCTCCTCCTAACTTCCAAACTACGAATTCTCTGCATTATATTCACACCACACATTGCCCTCAGACATAGTATTTAAATATTTTCCTGGATATGACAATTACTGTACATATTATCAAATTTTATTCAAAATGTGCAAACTTCTTCCCAGGATACTACTGATAAAATTGCATTAAAATGTGAAAAATGAACATTCTGTAGCCCAAACCCAATGTAATTACAACTATTAAAGCTTGAACCCTAAACTTAAGATTTTTTTAACACATTGGCCATCTCCCACCAAGGCAGGGTGACCCAAGAAAGAAAAAGCACTTTCACCATCATTCACACAATCGCTGTCTTTGCAGAGATGCACAGATATGACAATTCAGATGGCACTGTTAACTGCAAATATCCCAAACCCCTCCTTTAAAGTGTAGGCATTGTGCTTCCTACCTCCAGGGCTCCAGTGCGGCTAACCGGTTTCCCTGAATCCCTTCACAAATTATTACCCTGCTCACACTCCAACAGCTCATCAGGTCCCAAAAACCATTCATCTCCACTCCACTCATTTTCCACTTTCAAATTCCTTTTCACACAGCCTTTAAAACTATTCTACAAATATTTACAGATTCTGTTCACATCTTCCAGCAATAACTATCAGCTAGCAAACATTTTAACAGCACACAAATGTGAATTCAATATGTTCAAACTTTTTTCAAACACATTTCTTACACAATTACTCACCTATTGATCTGTGCTACTAATGCAGCACAGTGAGCTTCTTCACCTCTAGTTTCTCCCTCACTGTCTTCACTGGATGCTCTCTTGGTACTGCTTCCAGAGCTCTAAAATACCAATTATAAATCAATCACATAAAAATTTATTAGATTTTTTTTTTTTTCAACAAGTCGGCCATCTCCCACCAAGGCAGGGTGACCCAAAAAGAAAGAAAATCCCCCCCCAAAAAATACTTTCATCTTCATTCAACACTTTCATCTCACTCTCACATAATCACTGTTAATTTAATAGGTTGGTAGACAGCAACCACCCAGGGAGGTACTACCGTCCTGCCAAGTGAGTGTAAAACGAAAGCCTTTAATTGTTTTACATGATGGTAGGATTGCTGGTGTCTTTTTTCTGTCTCATAAACATGCAAGGTTTCAGGTACGTCCTGCTACTTCTACTTACATTTAGGTCACACTAAAGATACATGTACACGTTTATTTATACACACTCATCTGAGTTTTCTTTGATTTTATCTTAAAAGTTTTTGTTCTAATTACTTTTCCTTTTATATCCATGGGGAAGTGGAACAGAATTCTTCCTCCGTAAGCCATGCGTGTTGTAAGAGGCGACTAAAATGCTGGGAGCAAGGGGCTAGTAACCCCTTCACCTGTATATATTACTAAATGTAAAAGGAGAAACTTATTTCTTCTTTTGGGCCACCCTGCCTCGGTGAGATACGGCCCGTGTGTTGAAAGAAAGAAAGTGTGTTTATTAAATATAAACTCAATGACTCCATCTCTAGCCCTCAATGAATAAGTCTCCACTCCTCTTCACAAAGGAGGGAGGTCCAGGAAATTGTGACCCTGGTGTGGACTGTGAGATGCAAGGGATTTAAAGATGCACATTAAAACATGGCGAAAAAAAAAGATGCCGAAGATCTGATGGAGCTCAATTATCAGAAAAGAGGAGGTAAATAAAACAGACTGGATAGAACCTGGCAATGCAGTTAACACTGCAACAGTTACATAATAAAGTCTATGTTATTAGTAAATTTGCAGATTTTTTCACTGAAAAGGATCCTTATGCATACAGAAACATTACTCCAAAGCAGGGTCTGGAACAGCTGATGATGCCTAATTGTCAGCTCTATAAGGTATAGCAGGGAACAACAGACCAGACAGGTTATAAAATATTTGAACACTCAAGTACAACTATGAACTACTGATAACTCTGCACCCACTGAAGCACTACCATCCACCTGAACCCAGCAGGGCAATATTAACCCCCTCCACATACCTCTGTGTATAAGCAACAACAACAACTAGAACCTAAGTTGAAAATAAACTGTAGTAATTTTAATACAGTAGAATATTAAAAAGTATTTGGCAAATTTACAGGACTTTAACCCCATTTTTTACATGTTCTTTACTTAACATTACACTAGTTTTCATACTGATCAGATTTTGAGAAACATCTCCTGTATACATGTATTATGAGAGGGTTTACTGTATATGCTCCTTTTGCATAATAAATGCTTTGTATATATAATAGCTTTACTACCCCAATTTTTAAATGATTTTGCCAAATATTTGTTGTGTGAAAGATTTATTACTCCTAGTGTTCAAAATAGCCCATATGAGCAAAGCATCATTTTTCACTGACACTTCTAGCCCATGTGAATGACACTTAAAATGCGCTACAGGTCTCTTTTGTTTTAACACGTCGGCCATTTCCCACTGAGGCAGGGTGACCCCCCCCCCCCCAAAAAAAAAAAAAAAAAAAAAAGCTTTCACCATCATTCACACTTTTTTTTTTTTTATTATCACACTGGCTGATTCCCACCAAGGCAGGGTGGCCCGAAAAAGAAAAACTTTCACCATCATTCACTCCATCACTGTCTTGCCAGAAGGGTGCTTTACACTACAGTTTTTAAACTGCAACATTAACACCCCTCCTTCAGAGTGCAGGCACTGTACTTCCCATCTCCAGGACTCAAATCCGGCCTGCCGATTTCCCTGAACCCCTTCATAAATGTTACTTTGCTCACACTCCAACAGCACGTCAAGTATTAAAAACCATTTGTCTCCATTCACTCCTATCAAACACGCTCACGCATGCCAGCTGGAAGTCCAAGCCCCTCGCACACAATAATCACACATAATCACTGTCTTTGCAGAGGTGGTTAGATATGACAGTTTAGATATCCCTCCAAACTGCCAATATCCAAAACCCCTCCTTTAAAGTGCAGGCACTGTACGTTCCACCTAATGGACTCATGTCCAGCTAACTGGTTTCCCTGAATCCCTTCACAAAATATTACCCTGCTCACACTCCAACAGCTCATCAGGTCCCAAAAAACCATTCATCTCCATTCACTCCTATCTAACATGATCACACATGCCTACTGTATATCCAAGCCCTTTGCACACAAAACCTTTAACCCCCCTCCCTCCATCCTTACCTAAGGCAAGTCCTACCCCTCCTCCCCTCCACTAAAGATTTATACACACTCCAAGTTATCCTATTTTGCCCCATCCTCTCTAAATGACCAACCACCTCAACATTCCCTCTTCAGCCCTCTAATACTTTTAATAACTCCACACCTCTTCTAAGTTTTCACACTACGAATTCTCTGCATAATACTTACACCACACATTGCCCTTAGACATGACATCACTGTCTCCAGCCTCCTCCTCACTGCAGCACTTACAACCCAAGCTTCACACCCATATAACAGTGTTGGTACCACTATACTCTTGTACAATTCCTCTTTTGCCTCCATGAATAAAGTTAGTCTCCACAGACACCTCAATGCACCACTCACCTTTTTTTCCTTCTTCAATTCTATGGTTAACCTTGTCCTTCATAAACCCATCTGCTGACAATTCAAGTGTGTATACACTTGGGTCTGAATCTGTAACTCAATTAAAAAAATTGCAAGAACAAACCTGTGAAAGGATCTGAACATCCCTCCACACATTCTACTATGGGATGCTTAAAGGTTAAAGCACATTCAAAAATATTTATATGAATTATTTTTAGTGAAAAACAAAGACACAATGTCGTCACTGGAACAATACACACACAACCTGCACACGGGAGAAAGAAGCTCATGACAACGTTTCAGTCCGACTTGGACCACTGACCAGCATGACTAGTCGATGGTCCAAGTTGGACTGATATGACATTATAAGCTTCATTCTCCTATATGCAGGCTATTTGTCCTTACCTTGGAGTTTTCCGAATTTTTGGAACTTGGACACAGTGCTGCTTGAAGAAGTTGAAGGACTGTTGGGGCAACACCTTCTTCTAGCAGGCAAGACACCTCCATCAAGAAGCCAAGTACACTCTCATCCTTCATGCAATATCTGTCATAACAAATTTATAAACACCATAACGTATATTTCTCAAATTTTAAGATAATCTAAAATAATTCAAAAGTGCTTAGATTGGTTTTTTATTTTTTGTACGAGTATCATGATGGTTACAGAAAGATGAAACAAATTCCTGACTATGTATGGAGATAGTCTCCTTACATAGTATTAAAAGCAGGTATGATAGGTCTAGAGGCTAGGAGGGGATGCCTATGGCAAGTGCCGAGTTAAGAGGCTGGGCCAGGAGCCGAGACTTGACACCTGTGAAAACAAATAGGCGAGTACAGTATACAATACTTAATATTACCCACTTCTGCCAGTTTGGAGTGCGAGATGAAGCAATGTCCACACACGACTTGAGATGCTCAATCAGCTGAATGAGGGAGTCGTATGGAAGACTGATGGGGGTGACAGAGGCTCCACCTGAGAAGCTAAATCCTCCTTGTGCACACAACACCTTCACATCCTGTAACAACAATAAAGTCATCTTACTTACCAAATAAAAAGTTAAGCAATAAATAAAAGTTCTGAAATAGGAAGTCACATTTATCTAGTAAATGAACCTAAAGACTTAACCTTTGATATACCTTAGATGAGTACTGAGTTTTTTTACTCCCTAATGTGCAAACATTTAATCTTTAAGTACACTATAATCAGTAAAAATTATAGGTTTATAAATTACACTACAAAATTTACACAGGGTATTATATACTAAACAAAAGAAAGGTGAAAAGGAGAAAACAATAAGGGACAATTGCATAGAACATGCTGGAAAGCCATGAAAATTAAATGACTGTGAACCACTTCAGGAAGAGTTCCAGCCTGGAGATTTGTTAGATTCAAAGAGACTAAACATAGATATAGGGAGGACAGATAAAAAAAAAGTGAACTACAGTAAGATGCAACTCAACATTCTATGCAAGTTTGTAAAACAAGCTAAATGTGAAAGGCAAAATACAAATTACCAAGGACAACATAAAGTCATATAATTGGGAGAGATCCTAAATATGAAGTACCTGAATATACACTAGAATACAAAAGGACACACTCAAAAACAAGTTGAAATGGATTTTCTATAAATATTCAAAAGGAATAAGCCAAATAAAAAGCAATGTTCCAAGATGAAATATCACTATCAAAGGAGCCCGAGGTAGAATTAAACTATGGACTCTTGGAATTTACCATGTAAATTATGCATAATTCACAAGTTGAATAACCTATTAACTAATAAATTTATTTTAATGTGCCAGAATGAAGACAAAAGTCTTTGATCAGAAATCTGACTACTACTTGCTAAAAGTGCCCAATCATAGAATGTGACAGCTATGTACTTCAGCAAGCCCCTGACAGCAACAGTCTGGTTAACTAAGCAGTCAAAAATCAAGTCTGGCATTAGTCAGACCCTTGGGTTACAACTTTACCCCGATCTAACATCCAACAGGTTGCATGTTAGATTGGGGTACAGGCAGTTTTTTTTTTTTAATCAAACATGCTATTGGAGTATGAGGAATGTAATATTTATAATTTATGAAGTGACTCAGGGAAACTGGTTAGATGAACTTGAGTTCTGGACATGGGAAGTACAGTGTTTACAATCTGAAGGAAGAGTGAAGAGCTACAGTTCAGTGGGCCATCTGAAATGTGATGTCAGTGAATTTCTAGTAAGACAGGAATTGAATGATTGAAGGTAAATGCTTTTCACTATTTTGGGGGGTTAATGTTCCTTCGTGGGAGATGGCTAAAAATGTTATGTAATAGCAATAAGAGAAGACAAAAAGTCAGAAACACTAACCTTTATGTGGTAATCAAGGGCATGCATGTCTCGCATTTGGCGGTACTTGTCCTTGTGGCCACATATAAATAGCAGCAGTTTTCTAACTTGACGTCTCACAACTGGAGTTTGTTGTGTCATCATGTACTCACAGAGGTAGTGGGACCAGGCTGGCTCAAACTGACCTCCTTCTCCAAGCTTCTTCATCTGATAAAGCAAAAGCAAACACATGCTTAAAAATATACTTTGAAGGTGCCTAAAGAACTATTTCAACTAATTCTCTCAGGGCATAAACAATTTTACTCAATGGGCATAAATGAAGACTAAACTACAGTACACACAAGGTACTGTTCAGCAGAAAAGAATAATCGCCACTACAGCCAAAATACAAGGTAGTAAACACATGGATTCCTTGAAGTTTCATGTATTTGTGGAATGAGTAGATACTATCTTCTGCATTTGCAAGTTCAGCTCAGAGCCTCAAAGTATGGTTACGTGGGCTTGATAGCTCTGCAGTGGCCTCCCACCTTGTTTTTCTCCATTATTTGGATTTGGCATTTTATTTCTGCTGCGCAACACCTCATATATAGTACGTCATTTTAACTGTAGCACAAATCTTTATTTCTGAGGTACAAACTTCACTGCATGAGCATTATCTAACACATCACTACCACCAACACTTAATAAAATATTGGTGCTTTTGAAGACAATGTTTTCAACATGATCTTTGCCATTTTTTTATTAATTTTTAGTGGTTGTAGAAAGCAACCATTAAATTTGTCTTGATGAAATATTATACAATTAAATAACTGGCAATAAGAACACAGTAATGTGTAAACATCTGATTATTTAAGCTTAGTACGTTATAATACTAGTGTTTATTACTACCTGCTAATGGCTAATTAATAATGTAAGAATAATTACGAACTTAAAAAATTAAATTAACTCAAGTTACCTGATAGGGCAGTCTGAGAACCATTTCAGTTAGCAAGTGAGGGAAAGCTGCAAACACATCATGGGCATGACCCTTCACATACTGTCGCAAGAAGAATGGTGACATATCTGGTGGCAAGGTTAGTGGACGTGGTTTCAATAAGCCTGCACCAATCACAGTACCACTTTGCTCCTTAGAAGAAGCCCTCCAGTATTCTAGCAGGGCTTTCAGTATGACTAAGCAATGGTCCATGGCTCCTGAACGTACAAGGCAGCTGGCTGTCGCCTGAGGTATCACACTGGAGCTGTCACTACTTGATCGAGCACCAGACTTGCTTCGTGACATCATTACACCTAAAATAATAAAAAAAATGGTTTGTGGTAGGTAACTATTTAGTACACTGACTATTTCTGACAAAGGCAGGTGACCTAAAGACGAGCATATTCTCTAGCTGTTTTTCCAGAAGTACACAAAGACCACGGTTCCGATGATCCACCAAGGTGCAACATCCCCAGCCATCCTTCAGTACCAGGCACTGTACTTCCCTGTACTGCAACTCTCAACAAGGTCACATTACTGTATAATGTCAAGTCTCAAAAACCACTTTTCTCCACTCTCTTCATTTAACATTAAACCCCCTCCCCCCACATACAATACACAAAAACACCCACACCCCCACTCACTCACACCACAGAATGCTAAAGCCCCTACAACTCAAAAACTCCTTAAACCCTCCCTCCAAACCTTCGTGAGATGTCACCCACACCATATTCAACAGACACTCTGGCCAGTGTGTTCAGAAAATCAGATATAATTAGGTGCTGAATATAAAAACCAAAAGAATGTTTAAATAAACTTACTCAAAAGTCTCATTACAACCAACTGGACTTCCTTGCTGGGTGTACGCTCTGAAACTGTCGCCACATCAATGCTACTCATGTTTAGTTGTGTTACTAGAGCAGACAAGACGGCATCCAAGCTGGCCCGGTCTCGACTTTCATTACCATCAAGGTCAGATGTCAGCATCAGTAGGACCTTTGTAAAAATATAGTAATAATCAAGGGAGGATTTTAACGAGCTTTCAGAAT